TCAAGAAATAAGGCGTGGGGCCTGCTACGTCCATTACCCATCCCTGAACGGCCCTGGCAGAAAATCTCTATGGACATTATAGTCGAGCTTCCACCTTCACTGGACCACACAGCAATTCTCGTGGTCGTGGACCGCTTATCCAAGATGGCTGGCTACGTCGAACTTGAAGATGCTCTGCCCGTCAAAAAAGTTGGGACCTAAATTTATAGGCCCTTTTTGCATCAAACGGATGGTCAATGAAGTAGCCTATGAACTTGTTCTCCCTGAGACACTCAAGATCCACCCTGTCTTCCACGTGTCCCTGTTGAAGCCGGTAGTCCCTGATGCCTTCCCGGAACGGGAATCCAGGTCCCCGGAGGCCGTAACGGTTGAAGAGGAAGAAGAATTCGAGGTGGAGGCAATCCTGAAGTGCCGACGAAGGGGGGGCCAGACCCAATTTCTCATCAAGTGGAAGGGCTACGGCCCTGAGGACAATTCGTGGGAACCAGCCCATAATGTCCATGCACCTAGACTTGTCCTGAGGTTTCTTTGTGATTACCCGTGGTGGAGAGATCGGGTGGGCATCCGGAGGTTGCCCGTAGGGGGGGGGGCAATGTCAGGGATCCCCTCGATCCCTGCCGCGATGGTCCCGGCGCAGGCGCACTGCTCCGCCCTGTACACGGGCACTAGGTCCGGGCCGGCCGCGGCGTTCGAGTTCGCGCATGCGCAGTAGAAGCCGCCCGCTGGGCACCAATGGCAGCGCAGGGCGGGATATTTTAAAGGTCCCTGAGCTGTCATTTCGTTGCCTTCTGGTCTTACCTGCTTCCTGTGATTCTGTACCTGTGCCTTGTAAGTTTATTGACCCGGATTGTTCTTGACCTGCTGATTTCTCCTGCCCAGACCCTTGCTTGCCTGACCTCTCTCCCTGGATACCCCTCATTAGATCTGACCTCCTGTTGCTGACCTGGCGTGTGACCCGACGATTCTCTGCCTGCTCCCTTGTACCTTACCGTCCTCTACGTTACCAACTCGGCCTGTCTGACTTCGCACTTGCTCAGCCATCCATCCCATCGGGGTCACCCGACCTCCTCACATCTGGCTCTCCCTGGTTGGAGCCCCTGGCGAACACCCCTACCACTGACAGGTGTGCTCAGTAGTGGCGACCTGGTCTCGGGGTACTACAAGTCCATCCCCACCATCAGGGGCCCTGGTGAACAAGTACCCTGGGGCTTAGACTCCGCGCTCTGGGCACGCCTGACCAGTGGAGTGCTAGTGGTGTGCCGCTCGGCGGTCCCTCACAATATGCCTAGAACAGACAAAGGGGAGATTGCGTTTAAAAGCTATCAGAACACCCCGACGCTTCTCAGGAGCCGAGGCCGTGTAAAAGATGGGATAGCGATGTGAAAGATAACGTGGAGCGGAGGACTGAGAAAACCTGGTCTCCTGTAGACATACCACATCAATTTGTTGCGATTTGAGGTGATGAAAAACTTTAGCCCGTTTCTGAGGCGAATTGAAGCCTTGAACATTTTGTGAATGTATTTTCAAAAGAGGCGAGGCCATGGTGGTATCAACGCAACACGCTCAGCAGAAAAAAGCCCAAAGCAGCCAGCAATCTCCACTCCCAATGGCAATCGGACCATGGCGTCCCGGAACCCTGCAGAAAACAAAAAAAAAAAAAAACAGAGAAAAAGAAAAGAACAAAGAAAGAAAAAAGGAAAAAGACACAAAAAGTATACACAACAGTGCAATTGTGTCACACCAATGGTGACGTGCATCCTACACATGAAGGATACAGTTAGGGGTAACTCTACCGCCGGACACATGGCTGCAAATGGAAACATCAAAACAGAAGCCCTCAGAGGGCAAAAAGGTAATAAACATAATATAATGTAGTAAAACTTAATAAAACTAAAAGTCCCAGGAGCAGGGACCTCCGCGATAACCTCCCCATAGAAACCTGGAGAACCATAGGGGCCAATCCCCTTCCACCCAACCAGACCCACCGGGTCAACCTCCCCACCCCGGAGCCCGAGGAGCAGTATCAACCCGGAACGCAAACAAACTGGGGGAGCCCCAAGGGCCAAACTCACGGTCCCGTCAGAGAGTTCATCGGTGAGATGATACATGGAAAATCCAGGACGCATCTTCAGCCCGGAGAAGAACAGGAAGGACTTGATCGCGAAGGGGTCTGAGACAGGGCCCTCTTCCTATTGGACGACCGCTCCCAGATGCGGCTCGGAGGAAGCGGCCTCGCCGGGGATCCAGATGAATGAACTGGGCTCCGATCCGCAGCCTCCGGCGAAAGAAGGTGTAAGGATTCCAGGAGAGAGTGAGCCTCCTCTGGTGTAGCCACAGAGTGACTACGGCCCTGGTAGGTGAAGGTGAGGCGGAACGGAAAGCCCCAGGCGTATTTAATACTATGTTTCACCAGGACCGAAGTGAAGGGCTTCAACTGGCGGCGCTTTTGAAGAGAGTGGTCTGGGAAAGGTCCGCGAAGAGCTGATAGCGATGCCCCTGGAAGCTGAGATCAGGTTTATTTCTGGCCGCCAAGAGGATGGTTTCCTTAGTGCGGTAATAAGTGAACTTGATGATAATGTCTCTCGGGGGCCCATCCGGTCGTCTGGGGCCCAATGCACGATGTATACGATCAAATTCAAGACGGTCAATGGGAATGGCGGACATCAGCTCCTGGAACAGAGCAGTAGCAGTGGAGGTAAGATCCGTAACCGTTTCCGGGATACCCCTTAACCGCAAATTGCCACGCGGGAACGATTTTCAAAATCCTCAAGCCGTAGCAGCGCATCCGCCAATTCGTTCTTGAGGTCGCATAAATCCTGCTCGTGATTTTCAAGGACCGTAGCCGCAGCATCCATTTTATCGTCAAGGTCGTTCGTCCGACTGCCCAACTCCCGAATTTCCCGTGAGAGACGGTCGGCCAGCTTGGAGGTAGCGGAGGACAATTCTGATTGTAACATAAACTGGAAGCGGCGCAGGAGCTCAGCATCCCGCAGAGATGGCATGGGGGACTGCTGGGATGGCTCCAATGGCATGGGAGACTGCTGGGACGGGTCCTCCACACTGCCATGATCCGACCCACCTGCAGATGGTGATGGCATGGGACCCAAAATTGCAGCTGGGGCTCCATTTAAGGTCTCCGGCGGGAGCCGCGAATCCGAGGCCGGGGTCCTGGAAGTGTTCGGGCGGCCGGCCCAAAAATTGAGGCCCCGGCTTCAGCCGCGATCTCCGGCGGGTAGGCCGCAAACTTCTGAACGGCCCCCTGGGAGCTGGAGGCACGGGCGGCCGGCGTTTTTTTGCCCATCAGGGCACCAGGGAGACAGGGGGCCAGTGAGGAAACAGGGGGACCCCCCCTGGAGGGCGAAAATCGGCCGATGTGTCCAGCGGCCAAAGCACAGATTTAGAAGGCAGCCATCCTGGCTGCTGCTCACGAGCGCCCCCCCTCGCATGGTCACTTTTTAATAGGAAAGCAGAGACACCAGGTATTTCCCACAAAGGAAGCAATACTAAGAGAACAGGATATTTTCATACAATTACATGGTACACCAAGCACATATCAGAAACCTGAAATGTTACATATTCTTTACGTGTGTTTCAATGCACTTTTTTATTTTTTCAGTTAACTGGTGTTTTGTTTTTTGCACACCACCGTGGGTTAAAAAAAAGTAAGCATTTTTCAGGAAAAGTTGATTTTTGAACAGATATTTGATTTCTAACCATGGTCAAAGTGCCTAATGGGTGGCAAGTATAGAGGGTGTCTACTATACCAGCCTCTCAACCAGGGTGCCTTGAGGTTTCTTCAGGGGTGCCTTGGGAAAATGTCTAAAAATTGTCCAAAACTTGAATACAAACCAGTGGGTGGAACAAGCCTGCCTTTTAGTTACACAAAGGCACAGTTTTGCTTGTGCACCATTAGTGTTCTAGCTGCCGGCATCCTGACAACCAATGACATCATCAGCTGATAAGGAGTATGTTGGTTGCTTGCACAGCATCCTAGCTTGACCCACCCCTGCCCCTTTCATTCAGTGCTGGGGTCATATTAGCTCAGTGATGGAGAAAAACTGAGGGAGGAAAGAAACACTGGAATAGTACTCAGTACCAGTGTGCAAAAGTTTTTGCTTTGGAAGAATAAATCACCTCTAATGTTGGGTGTCCTACATGTGTGGATGTTGCTGCGTTATATAAAACTATTAGAATAGTTTTTCACATTTTAGAAAGGGGTGCCCTTTTAAAATTATGGACAGTCTAGGGGTGCCTCAAGACTGTCCATAATTTTAAAGGGTGCCTCGAGATTGTCCATAATTTTAAAGGGTGCCTTGACTGAAAAAGGTTGAGAAACACTGTACTATAAAAATCTCCCACTTTGCCTTTTGTTGTATTGTACAGGTTCACTTGATTATTACTTTTACAAATTGTAGATGTCCTACCTGATGTTTTAAGTTTGTTTCCCCACCAGTGCCATGGGTGTATCGAGCAATGTGAGTAACAGAACAAATACTCGCATTGAGTTGTTACAGTTCTGTTATGAGGGCCAAATAAAGGGACATTTATTGACTTTTTAAAATATAGTACCAAAACCTAACAAGTCATGTTAGGTTTTGGTACTATATAATAATAAACCATGATGCCACATCTACAGGTCACAATACTTCCCATAACCCTGCACATGTGGCAGAGTAAGTATTACAAAAAATTCCTGTCTGTATTTGCAGCAACCTGGACTGTTACCCCAGTTATACCACAACCTTGTGTAAAGTAGCTAGTGTTGAAATTATAATATTAGCAAAAAGACCTCCTTGATGGGGGAAAACTTGTAAATGGAGCCCATGCCATCAGAATACAATAGAACAGCAGTTCTCCCATCCACCTTGCATGTGTGGATGGGAGTATCTGTTGATTTTCCAGAGGTCTTATACAAATTAAAAAAAAAAAAAAAAATCATCTATGGCCAGCCTTAGTCCATATAAGGAAACTCCCCTCAGAAGTTGGAAGTATTTTCCTACCTCTTCCTCATCTGCCCGGAAGTAAAACAGAAAATTCACAACCAATTTCACCAGACGCTTCTTCAGTACTGTACAAAGAGGATTAAAGAAAACAGGTGGAAAATAGTCAGTAGGGAAGCAACATTCATGAAAAAAACAAAAAAATATCTGCATAAAAAAACAATTCTGTTTTATGTGCCCTAGCAATGCCTGACATTAGGTGCCACAACTACAGCTGTATTTTACTCTCTGAGGCCATATGCTCTAAACTTCAGCCATGTGCAAGAGCCCTTACTGGGCATGCATTTAGAAAGCATTTAAGAAACCATCCTACTGCTTCTAAACGTGTACACGAGCCATTAGACACAACTTGCAGGATCTGCATTAATCTCTCTGTTTTTTTATTTACTCCTTAGTTCATAATTACCAAAATGATGATGATGTGGCATGTAAACAAGATTGTACATTGAGCAGTAAATGTGCCACTAAGTGTACAATCTTTTGAAATTAGCAGGCAGGTAAAATACTTTTACTGAAGAAGATATATACAGAATCTCTTCTACAATAAATGCCTTCCTGCTAGCAAATTTCTTTTATATATACAGTATTTATATAAATCTGCTAAATGTGATCCAGGTTCATTAAAACACAAGGAGCTCAGTGTCTTACAGTTTTTCTTTCTAAAGCAGCCATAGCCTGTGTCCTGGCAGCAGAGGCAGAGTGGAACCCTTGCTTTCTGTGGGGAATTGGTGGTCTCTCTCCAGAGGTTCAACACACCCCCTCCAAAGTTGAAGCCTGAGCTTTCCAATAAGCAGGAAGCATGCACTTGACTGATTGGAGAAATTTAGGTCTGACTCAGCAGGTGGCCAGTGGAACCTCTACAGAGAGATCACTGATTCTTCACAGAAAGCAAAGTCCCACTCTACAGCATGCTGGCAGGGCACAGGGTTTTCTGCTCTGGCTGTGGTTTATTTCTAAAGAAAACAAACTAAGACATTGCACACCTTTTGTTTTAAAAAGGAATTAAAGCCTTTTTTTTTTTATTTTGAATAGCATAAAGAGGAATGATAACGTCTATTAGTTGTTTTTTTTTGCCATCTGTGTCCAACTGGGGAGATTTTCCTTTACTTCCTGTCTCATAATCACATAAAGAAGTGAGGAAAATCCCTGCGGTCACAAAAACGAATGTCCCCAATGGAAGATTTCCCCTCTATTCCTATTTTAGTGAGAACTCCAAAGTTGGGATTTTCTTTCACTCTCAGGAATGGTGGTCACCAGGACAAATAAAGAGGGTGAATTTCCTTAATGGGGACACAGACAGCAACAAAAACCTGGCAGGTGTCCTAATCCCTCTTTACGCTATCCAAAAGAAAAATAAAATAGGGTTTGACTTTATTTCTGCTTTAATGGACCTAGAACTTATTTAGCTGATTAATACAAAGTGTTCAACAGGGCTTAAAGTAGTAATAAAGTATATGGCTCCCATAATTCCACAACATCCAAAAACAAATAAGAACAAGACTGCTAAGTTGCAAAACTTTTTACTTCAAGTGTGTCTTCATACAAAAATTAGCAATAATTTTTGTATGAAGATACACTTGAAGTAAAAGATTTTTTTTTAAACTTGGAGATCTCGTTCTCATTTCTTTATATATTATAAAAAAAGAGAAAGGATTGCTGCAGCTAAAAATTTTAATATGGAAATAGTGTTATATAAAAAAAATACAAAGTAAGAAATTCATTTATTGAGATCTCTCTCTCCCTCTTGTCAAACTGAGGCTTGGAGAGGTGTGGTGGATACTGCATGGAAGGGGGGCAGCAAAAGACAGAGAAAGAGAGCGCGCGCGCGCGCAATACACTGATCTTCCAAATGAAGAGCTGTGCTGGGGGCATCTCTTGGCCATTGGAAAACAGGCAGACTGCTCCCAGCACAGCCAGAAAAATTACCATACTGGGATGGATGTGCTCTCAGGCCTAGTATAGTCAGTTTTCTAATAGGAAAACAGAGCGACTGGCAGGATCAATAGGGATTTCACACAGAGAAAGCGATAAAGAAAACAGGATACTTTTTGACACAAGTACACAGTACAACATGCACATATAGGAAATGTGAAATTTTGGAGTATCATACACTTTAAAGTCAGCTTTTTTTCTGTACTGCCAGGATCGAAGGAGTCCTGTACAAGTCTCCAGTAAGTGCATGCTTCCACACTGTATGCTGAGTCTACATGCAGCTGCTCAGAGTACTGCACACACAGTCAGTGAAAGAGGGATACACAGAGGAAAAGCCACGTCTCTCCTCCATGGTGATGATTGACAGTAGTTTTGTGTATCGCTCTTGCGCTGTGTGTGTGGGTGGCACTCTGAGCAGCTGCATGAAGACTTGGCATACAGGGCGAAGTTCACACATAATGGAAACCTGTAGAAGACTCCTTAGATCCCAGCAGCACAGAGAGAATTACCATCAAGCAGCACTGTCAGGAAACACTTGAAAATCCAATTTACAAAGGCAGAAGTTACAAGGAAAAATAAACATCAAATACATGTTAGGAAAGGAAAATTAATTCTACTTTAACCCATTGATGCCGACGTCACACAAATATGTGGTCTTGACAGAACTGGGCTTTTTTTTTTTCCTCCCCATGGGATTGCATATTTGCGCACCTGTCTTTGTGCTGGGAACACGCCCCATGGCGCACTCCCAGCACAAAGAGCGGGGTGTCACTGAGTGCCCTAGGTCCTGTACTAACGCTTGGGACCCGGAACTCTTGATTCCGGGTGACCTGATCGCTGTGATAGCCTCTGATTTGCTATCGCTGTGAAGACCGCCCCTGTGTTTTCTTTCTCTCTGAATGGAGAAGAAAGATACATTGGGGTTGATTTACTAAAGCTGGAGAATTCAAAATCTGGTGCAGCTCTGCATAGAAATCAATCAGCTTCTAGGTTTTTTTTTTTTTGTCAAAGTTTAATTGAACAAGCTGAAGTTAGAAGTTGATTGGCTACCATGCACAGCTTTTGTACTCTCCAGCTTTAGTAAATCAAACACATTGTATATCTCTGCCTCTCCTTCCAGAGAGAGAGGGAAAAAAAAAAGAAATATTGAAAAAATATCAACGTTTGATCTAGGTCAGTGCCTGGGTTAGTGTTTGGGTCAAGCACAGGGTCAAAGGTCAGGTTTTTTTTGGGTTTTTTTTTTTTAAATTAGTACCAGTGTCAGCATTTTAGTTAGGATGAAAAAAAAATGCAAAATGCGCTCTATTGTTTCTGAGCTGCACTATGGGTACAAATAACATACACATTTGTAGTATCGCTGCGATCGTCAGAAGCTGGAGAATTTATTTTGGGTTGTTCTTTGGTGGGAGGTTATGGTAGTAACAAGAAACACACAGCTAAATAAAAGAAAAAACATTTTTAACTATTTTCAATTTTCCTTTGCTAATAAAAAAAATCAGAAGAGATCCATTACCATTTACCACCACATGAAGGCCCAATTTGTCCTTAAAAAAAAAAACGCGGTATAATTCACCTGGATGTACAAAGTAGTTGTGATGACATATACAGTTTTACTTACACATGTCAAAGTTGCAAAATTTTACTTAGGCATGAAGATTTGTTTTACCCTTAGGTATGAAGCGGTTAAAGTATAACTAAAGGTAAAACTTTTGATTAGTTTCGACAGAGTGGAGGAACAGAACCTCTGTTCATTTTTATTGCTGTCTGTGCCCCCCCCCCCCTTTATTTGTCCTGTTATCACCAAAAGAAAAATTAAAAGAAAATCTGAAATGTTGTCTCCTGAAGAGTTATGGAGGAGAAATCTTCTAATGGGGACAATAGCACTGGTGATAATCAGGGATTCCCTGACTTTGGAGGGATCTGCTCTCATTTCCTGGTTTGGCTATGTGATAGGAAGTGAAGGGAAATCTCCCCAATGGAACACAGAACGGAAAAAAAAAATTAACAGGGTTTATAACGCTCCATTAGCCTTCGTTCACACTGATGTGGTATGGAATTTGCAAAGTTTTCAGTGCGAATTCCGCACTGCCTCACAATCACATCCTGTTCTCATGAACCAATGTGGGTGTGTATGTTAATGACACCCCCACATCTGTCCTCAAAACGTGGTGTGATGTGCAGAATCGCATTGCATAGGTGTGAATACCCATGAGATCTGATTCTAGTGCGGACCAAAAAAGGGTCCTGCACCTTTTTGGTGAGGGTGCGGTGCGAATAGAGCCATACAAAATGTATGGCTCTAATCGCACTGCATACCAATCACATGTGATTTGTACAGGAGTGTGGTTCCTGTGCAAATCACATGGGATTTCCACACCGCTGTAGTGTGAACCTAGGCTCAGTCCTGGTTCACACAGATGTAATACGGGAAACGCAGCAAATCCTGTGTGTTTGCCCCATTGCAATTGCACGGCATCCAGGCGATCTGCTGTGGGTGTCATTTAAGGACACCCTGAAACAGATTGCAAAACACAGTTTGATTGCCAGAATCAGATCGCATTGGTGCGAATACCCATGCAATGAGATTCAGGTCCAGGAAAAAAATTTTGGTCGTATGGCTTGCACAGACACCACGTGATGTGCACAGGAATGCAGTGCGATTCCTCTGCGAGTGTGAACTCAGTCTTATGCAGGCCATAGATGGGTCGAAAATCGGCCGATTTTCGGATCGTTAGTGGGCGATTTGGTCGGCCGTTTTTCGGTATTTTGGCCGTTTTTTTTTTTTTTTTCGGTAAAGTTGGAAAAAAAATCGGCCGATTTTGCCGATCGGCCGATTTTCGCGGCAATTAGTGGGCAAATCGGCCGATTTTTTACCGATAAAAAATCTGCGCATGAGCAGTGACCTGCAAGAGGAAGACAAAAAGAAGAAAAAGAAGAGGAAGACGATGAAGAAGAGGATGAAGAAGAAGAAGAGGAAGAAGAAGGAGGATGAAGAAGAAGAGGATGAGGATGAAGAAGAAGAGGATGAGGATGAGGATGAAGAAGAGGATGAGGATGAAGAAGAAGAGGAGGATGAGGATGATGATGAAGAAGAGGATGATGATGAAGAGGGTGAGGAGGAAGAAGAGGATGAGGAAGAAGAAGAGGATGAGGATGAAGAAGAAGAAGATGATGAGGATGAAGAAGAGGATGAGGATGATGAGGATGAAGAAGAAGAGGATGAGGATGAGGAAGAGGATGAGGATGAAGAAGAAGAAGAAGAAGAGGAGGAAGAGGATGAAGAAGAAGAAGAAGAAGAAGAGGATGAGGATGATGATGAAGAAGAAGAGGATGATGATGATGATGAAGAAGAATAGGGTGAGGATGATGAAGAAGAAGAGGATGAGGATGATGAAGAAGAGGATGAGGATGAAGAAGAGGATGAGGATGAAGAAGAGGATGAGGATGAAGAAGAGGATGAGGATGAAGAAGAAGAATAGGGTGAGGATGCAGAAGAAGAAGAGGATGAGGATGCAGAAGAAGAAGAGGATGAGGATGCAGAAGAAGAAGAGGATGAAGAAGAAGAGGATGAGGAAGAAGAAGAAGAAGAAGAAGAGGATGAGGATGAAGAAGAAGTAGGATGAAAATAAGAATTCCAGTCCAGCAAAAAGTGTCTCTGCAGAGAGCTCCGCTATTTCTGACAGTTCTCTGACAGTTCCTTGACATTTACAGCGGTTGAAACATTGTATCTATTTGTTTCCGAATAAAAACATCTGTATCCTAAATGGAAACAAATAGATACATTGTTGCAACTTCTATAAATGTCAAGGAACTGTCAGAGAACTGTCAAAGAAATAGCAGAGCTCTCTGCAGGGACACTTTTTGCCGGCTCTAGACGGGTAGAAAATCGGCCGATTTTTTTTACCATTGATGGTAACGTCGGCCACTTGAACAACCGATTTTTCGTTTTTTAAAAGAAAAATCTGCAGTTTTTCTCCCCATCTATGGCCTGCATTACTCTATCCAAAAGGGAAAAAAACTAAAGTTTTGCCTCCAGTCCACCTGCACTGCCCTGATTTACAAGCCATATGTCACAGCCATGCCTGCCTTCCCAATACTCACCGCTTCCTTTCTTGGGGGCCCTCATGCCCAGTTCAGCTGCCTTCTCCGCCCTCTGCCTGGAGAGGGACACCAGCTCCTTGTCATTGTACCTCATAGCGGGCACACAGCATGGCCCGAGTCCTCTATAGGACACGGAAATCAGTATTCCTTACAGAGCGTGAAAGGCGAAACAGCGCCACAAACTAACACATCAGCAGACACGTTCATAGGCTGACAGCCCTTATGTTTACAGTACAACTGCCTTGGTTTTCTTCACCCGGAAGTACATACGTGTTCGTGGAAGTAAAGTTTTGTTGAGGCGACGTTACTTCCTGGAAGAGAGCACACTTCCGGACCGTGTGGCCTGGTGTACAAGGCGGCTGGAGCGGAGGTAAGTAGTATCTGGGAGAGGGATACGCGGGTGGGAAGTGTTGGTTTACTATAATGCTCCTCTTCCTAGTGTATACGGAGCTTTTTACATTGTAAGCTTGTTCATGCACGGCACCCTTCTCCGTCTTTATCATGTCTGTGCTGTTTGCACGACGTATGCCGATGGGATGAGATGTATAGCTGTGCTCTATATGTTTAAAGTGGATCTATACCTTTCAGACCTAACGGCTCATACGATCGTACCAGTGCTAAAGTAAACAGTCTTCATATGGGACTGGCCCCATTGATGCATACTATTACAGGAAATGCATGTAAATCGCGTATGTTTCCGTAGCCAAAATACATTTCTCTTTATCAGACATGCGGGGGTGCCTTTACAGCCTCTTGCACACTGCTGCCTCAAAACTCAATGGTTTTAGACATACAGGCATTTTTTTTACAGCTGTAAATGCAGCCTAATGTTTTTAATGTGCCTTCACACACAGGTGCGTAAACATACACTGCGTATAGATCTGTAGCGCCCCTCTACTTAGCTAGGGGGATCTAGATAGAGGCTGAGTAACATCCAGGGATGTCTGCCAGTTTACTTTAGGTCAGGGCTGAGGGCTCTGCATGTCAGTTCCCTTATACTTGCCCCTGCTCTAGAAGCTTGAGAAGTTTCTAGAAGGCAGTGGGTGAGGGTGATGAGGGGCTGATCTGCATCCTCAGAGGATTCTGACCAATCCTCAAGCAAGAGGCTTGGCATTGGGTCAGGACAGACCTTAAGTATGAGAGCCTGATTGGGAAGTGGTCAGTGTCAGGTGGAAGATGGAGTGTGGAGCTTAGGAGGGCCCACAGGCAGGTGCTGGACAGGAGGTTCTCTCTACCTCAACCATCCCCTGACAGAAGACAGCCTGGGAAGGAGCTAGCCCCACATAAGACCTGAAGGCATCCACCAACCCAATAAACTTACCTGAGAGGCAAAGTGAGTAATCCTACACCCTTTGGGCCAGATAAGGGGACAGGGCAGTCAGTTGGGATACCCAACTAGGTCTTCACCCGGGACTACTTCTCTACAGTGGCAGCTTCTGGGTCCCCTTGCCCAGGGAATACCTTCAGTGCACCTGAGTGAAGAGGAGGATTTATCTGGGGTCTGACTCCTCAGACCCCAGATAAATCCTCCTCTTCACCCAGGTGCACTGAAGGTATTCCCTGGGCAAGGGGACCCAGAAGCTGCCACTGTGCACCAGAGAGCTGGAATGATCTTAAAGGAGAGACTATTTTGTCACCGGACAGAGTTTGTCCTCATAGTTCAGTTTCCTTGGGCATCCCATACACCCCTCAAACCCCATCCAGGTTTAAAACATCAAAACCAAGCTGAAGGACTGTTTACTGACTTCAGTGTGCAGGTGTAGAAGAAGATGCATGTTGGCTGGCTGTGCAGAGCTATAGGGGGACCCAAAACTCCATGACTCCTAAGGGGGTAGTGCTACAGATCAGTACAAAAAAAAAATACAGAAATCTGAGTTGCCAGTAGTTCTCAACCTTTTTTCTGTCAAGGCACTCCTTAAAATGCTTGTCAATCTCGAAGTACCCTATTCCAAAGTGTAAACTACTAAACTAATAGTTTTACATCATGTAGCAACATGTATACGTGTAGATCCCCCCCAGCATCTCTCCTGTGTTCATGGGGATGGAGGGGCAGAAGAATAGCAAACAAGAAGGTCCTCTGGCATCTTACATTCTCCTTATAAACCCATAATGTCATTAGTTGTTAGGATGCAAGTGGCTTGCCCACACCGTGCTCAAGGCTGTATGTAATGTTACACAATAAAAACCTGTTGCTTTGTGTAACAAAAAGGCAGGCTTAATCCACCTATTGGCTCGCTGACAATCTTTGGGCAATTTGGCGCAATTTTTAGGAATTTTACCAAAGCACACCAGAGTGCCATGGCATCCTTGTTGAAAAAGGCTGTTTTACACATACAGGTGAAACTTGAAAAATTAGAATATCGTGCAAAAGTTCATTTATTTCAGTAATGCAACTTTAAAAGGTGAAACTAATATGAGATAGACTCATTACATGCAAAGCAAGATAGTTCAAGCCATGATTTGTCATAATTGTGATGATTATGGCTTACAGCTCATGAAAACCCCAAATCCACAATCTCAGAGTATTAGAATATTACATGCAATCAATAAAACAAGGATTGTAATATTGGACCTCTGAAAAGTATAAGCATGCATATGTACTCAGTAATTGGTTTGGGCCCCTTTTGCAGAAATTACTACCTCAATGCGGCGTGGCATGGAAGCTATCAGCCTGTGGCACTGCTGAGGTGTTATGGAAGACCAGGATGCTTCAATAGTGGCCCTCAGCTCTTCTGCATTGTTTGGTCTCATGTCTCGCATCTTTCTCTTGGCAATGCCCCATAGATTCTCTATGGGGTTCAGGTCAGGCGAGTTTGCTGGCCAATCAAGCACAGTAATTCTCACGGTCATTGAACCAGGTTTTGGTGCTTTTGGCAGTGTGGGCAGGTGCCAAGTCCTGCTGGAAAATGAAGTCAGCATCCCCATAAAGCTCATCTGCGGAAGGAAGCATGAAGTGCTCCAAAATCTCCTGGTAGACGGCTGCGTTGACCCTGGACTTAATGAAGCACAGTGGACCTCCACCAGCAGATGACATGGCTCCCCAAATCAACACAGACTGTGGAAACTTCACACTGGACTTCAAGCATCTTGCAGTGTGTGCCTCTCCATTCTTCCTCCATACTCTGGGTCCTTGGTTTCCAAATGAGATGCAAAAGTTGCCCTCATCAGAAAAGAGGTCTTTGGACCACTGAGCAACAGACCAGGTAAGACGCTTCTGACTTTGTTGTTCAGGAGTGGCTTAACATTTGAATATTACATTTGAAGCCCATGTCCAGGATCCATCTGTGTGTGGTGGCTCTTGATGCACTGACTCCAGCTTCAGTCAACTCCTTGTGAAAGTCCCCAACACTTTTGAATGGCCTTTTCCTGACAATCCTCTCCAGGCTGCGGTCATCCCTGCTGCTTGTGCACCTTTTTCTTCCACACTTTTCCCTTCCACATAACTTTCTATTAATGTGCTTTGATACAGCACTTTGGGAACATCCAACTTCTTTTGCAATTACCTTTTGGGGCTTTCCCTCCTTATGGAGGGTTTCAATGATGGTTTTCTGCACAACTGTCAGGTCAGCAGTCTTTCCCATGATTGTGATTCCTACTGAACCAGACTGAGAGACCATTTAAAGGCTCAGAAACCCTTTGCAGGTGTTATGGCTTAATTAGCTGATTAGAGTGGGACACTTTGAGCCTAGAATATTGCACCTTTTCACAATATTCTAATTTTCTGAGATTGTGGATTTGAGGTTTTCATGAGCTGTAAGCCATAATCATCACAATTATGACAAATCACGGCTTGAACTATCTTGCTTTGCATGTAATGAGTCTATCTCATATATTAGTTTCACCTTTTAAGTTGCATTACTGAAATAAATGAACTTTTGCACGATATTCTAATTTTTCGAGTTTCACCTGTGTTTCATTGTATATGCACATACAATACACCTCTCAATAAAGTTGCACTCTGCAAGGTAGATTTTATTTTGTACATACAAAATAAACACCTAACATTTTGGGCAGGAATACCGATGTTCAAACATCAGTTCTGTTTGCAAGTACCCTAATTCTTGATGGTACCCCCCATGCATCTGAAAACGCAGCACAAAACTGTATGTGGCTGCCCTGCAGGTGCATTTTGGAAAAAGGTTTGGGGGGAACTTTCTCTGCATTTCCCATAGGTACAGCAGCCCATTCAAATGCAGCACACAGGAAATGCAAAGATGTGAACCTAGTTAGGTTCAGGCTATTGCGGGTGGTACGGTTTGTGTGGGAACAGTAGCCCATTCATTTGAATAGGCTGCTGTATGTGCGGGTAAGGCAGGAAGAGAGTCCCTGACCCTGTTTTGAAAACACAAAATGCATCTGCATGGAACCACTTGGTGCAGTTTCACGCACCCAAAAACACACTGCATTTTTCCAATGCATGAGGGTGCCATTTAATAGCACCCCCGTGCCTCTTCTAAACAGCACTGTCGTTTTGGTGTGAGCACATCTGCGATTTACACACATTCCCACACTCGCAATGGTGTACTTCTATTAGATTGTAAGCGCTAAGGAGCAGGGCCTTCCTAACCCTCGCTTTGAATTTGTATTGTAAAGGGCTGTGCAAGCTGTTGGCGCTATATCAATCCTGTATAATAATAATAACCTAAATACTGTGTGGGCTGGGGTTGTAGTGTGATAGAGATGCTGCATCCCGGAATGGTAAAGCACTGCCTGGTAAGCTAAAAGTAGAACTGGGGCCAAGCAAAAGAGACCAACGTACACTACACCTAGGCATGCAGACTGCTATTACAAACATTTGTGAAAGAATGGGTCACTCTCGGGAGCTCAGCAAATTCAAGTGTGGTACTGTGATAGGTTGCCACCTGTGCAATAAGGCCATCTGTGAAATTTTCTTGCTACTAAATTTTCCACGGTCAACTGCTAGTGGTATTATAACAAAGTGGAAGCAACTGGGATCAACAGCAACTCAGCCACAAAGTGGTAGGCCATGTAAAATGGTAGAGTGGGGTCAGCGCTTGCTGAGGCGCACAGTGTGCAGAAGTTGCCAGTCACCTCCAAACTTCATGTGGCCTTCAGATTAGCACAAGAACAGTGCATAGAGAGCTTCAAGGAATGGGTTTCTATGGCCGAGCAGCTGCATCCAAGTCTTACATCACCAAGTGCAATGCAAAACGTCGGATGCAGTGTTGTAATGCATGCCGCCACTGAACTCTAGAGCAGTGAAGACGTGTTCTCTGGAGTGACGAAAAGCGCTTCTCTGTCTGGCAATCTGATGGACGTGTCTGCGTTTGGTTGTTGCCAGGAGAACAGTACTTGCCTGACTGCATTGTGCCAAATGAAAAGTTTGGTGGAGGGGGGCTTATGGTTTGGGCTTGGCCCCTTAGTTCCAGTGAAGGTAAATCTTAAGGCATCAGCATACCAAGACATTTTGGACAATTTCATGATCCCAAATTTGTGGCAACAGTTTGGGGATGGCCCCTTCCTGTTCCAACATGACTGTGCACAAAGCAAGGTCCATAAAGATATGGATGAGTGAGTTTGGGGTGGAGGAACTTGACTGTCCTGCACAGAGTCCTGACCTAACAAGATAAAACATCTTTGGTATGAATTAGAGTGGAGACTGTGAGCCAGGCCTCCTCAGGGTGGGCCAACTCAATATTGAACCCTACGGATTAAGACTGGGATGCCATTAAGGTTCATTAGTTACATAGTTAGTCTGGCTAAAAAAAAAGACAAAAGTCAATCCAGTTCAATAAAAAAAAAAAAGTTATAATCCTGCACCCACAGTTGATCCAGAGGAAGGCAAAAAAGCCCAGCAAAGCCTGATCCAATTTGCCCCTGCAGGGTAAAAATATTCCTTCCTGATCCCCCGAGAGGCAATCAGATGTTCCCTGGATCAACTTTACCTATAATGTTAGTATCCAGTTATATTCTGTGTATCCAAAAAAGAATCCAGGCCTTTTTTAAAGCAATCTACTGAGCTGGCCAGAACCAACTCTTGAGGGAGTCTATTCCACATTTTCACAGCTCTTAACTGTGAAGAAACCTTTCCGTGTTTGGAGAATAATGTATTTTTCTCCAGACTTGTAGAGTGCCTGCTTGTCCTCTGTGATGACCTCAGGGTGAATAGCTCTACACCGAGTTAAATATATGAACCGCTGATGTATTTATACATGTTGATCATATCCCGCCCTTAATCTCCTCTTCTCAAGAGAGAATAAATTCAGTTCCTCTAATCTTTCCTCATAGCTGAGCTTCTCCATGCCTCTTATCAGTTTGGTTGCCCTTCTCTGTACTTTCTCCAGTTCCCCAATGTTCTTTTTGTGAATTGGTGCCCAAAACTGAACTGCATATTCCAGATGAGGATTTACTAATGATTTGTACAGGGGTAAAATTATATCTCTCTCTCTGGAGTCTATACCTCTTTTAATGCAAGAGAGGATTTTGCTTGCTTTAGAAACTGCAGCTTGGAATTGCATGCCATTATTAATACCAGAACCCCCAGATCCTTCTCCACCATTGATTCCCCCAGTTGTACTCCCCCTAGTATGTATGATGCATGCATATTCTTAGCCCCCAAGTGCATAACCTTACATTTATCAACATTAAACCTCATTTGCCACATAGTTGCCCAATTAAACAGTGCATTGCGGTCGGCTTGTAAATTGGAGACATCCTGTAAGGACATAATTCCACTGCACAGCTTGCTGTCATCTGCAAAGACTGAAATGGGATTTTTAATCCCAGACCCTATATCATTTATAAATATATTAAAAAGTAAGGGTCCCAACACTGAACCCTGGGGTACACCACTGACAACCTTAGACCATTCAGCGTATGTGTTAATAAAGCTCACCTGTTGATAAAATAAAAATCTCCTAAATGTGCACCATTCGGGAGATATTCGTCACCAGTGCATGCGCTCTGAAGGAACAGCATACCCATTCCTTCAGAGCGCTGTACCATGACCCGTGACTCCCACACACCTGCGCGGGAATGAAGTCATCACTGCTCGGTCATTCAAGCTGCTGGAGCCTGCAGATTTGGAAGATAGACCGGGTGTAGATGGAAGCCCTGTCATCAGTGACAGCACATCACTGGTGTCTTCGTTCTAAGGTAATAATGTGTTAGCACATTATGCTATTGTCTTGCAGGGGAGTTTTTGTTTTTTTAATATTGCGGTTTGCTATCGGTTTAAAACAAGTCTTCAAAGACCTCTATAGCAGCAGGCATCGGAGAGCAATTCATCTTTAAAGTTAACACTAGTCAAACCAACATTTTTTTTTCTCTCAGCAGCTTAGCTCATCCTGCTCTGCCCTCCCAGAAAACCTATTTTCTGTTTACAGGGCCAGTTGTCAAAATCCTCTGAGCTTTAAAGTAGCAAAAAATCCTCAGTGTTTTTAGCCTAACACTTTCAGCACAATAAACTAAACATTCTCCATTAAACTATGTAAAATTCTTTCCCGTGCACTTAGAGTTTACTTCCAATTATGCTGGCTCTTGCTCTCTCAGTGATGCTTTCCAGAACGTTGGTTTTTCACAGGAAAGGGTTAAATAGATTGCGGTTTGAAGCAAGTCTGTTAGTTGGAGAAGGGAAGGAGCAGGTGAGTACCTTGCCATCCTCTGCTGTGTGCTTTTATTGATGCACACAGTGTAGGAAGAAGCTCTAGTCTCTGCATGCAAGGGTACCTCCATAGGATGCTGTAAGAGTAGGCAGCCAGCCTGAAACGGGAAACCTTGAGCAGCAATCAGGGCACCAGCTTAAACTGGAACTGGGGGTTTAATATTGATTTAAGCACGTGCTGCATATTTTCCATTTATATTGAGCGTTCCAACTCTTGACAAAGTATAGACTCTCCACAGTATTCAATAAAAAGTAGGCCATGCATGGGCTCAGCTCAGAAGATTTTGACACTGGTTTGGAGACAGTATATGGCTGGGGAAGGCAGAAGAAGCTTCAAGTGATTTTAAACTTTTTTTTTTTTTTTTTTTTTTTCTTTCATTGAAAAAACATACATTTTATACATACCTTTTCTATGCAATGGTTTAGAGCAGCCTCGATCCCCCTCTTTTGGGGTCCCCCACTGGCACTCCTGGCTCCTCCCCTCCACCCAGTACCTGCCATAAGCCGCTTCCTATGGCGTGCACTCATGCAAGCTCTTTTCTAAGCCGGATTGTTTGCGTTCAGACATACAGCTTGACTCAGCCCGCCCCTCGCTCTCTATACATAGGTTTTGACTGACAGCAGCAGGAGCCAATAGCTCCCGCTCCTCTCAGCTGAGCCTGTAAGAGCTGGGAGAGGGGAGAAGAGCTGTGGCAGACATGCTCGGCGCTGGACCAATATCTGGTTCGGGTGAGTATTTGGGGGGGGCTGCATATAAGAGGTTTTTTACCTTAATGCAGAGAATGCATTAAGGTAAAAAAACTTTTTATCCTTTACAACCACTTTAAATATGAATGTAACTGCACCAAAGGAGACTTTTGGTTTGTCCGTTTACAACTTTATTATACTGTTGTAAGTGAGAAGCTATTTGAGCTAGTTTTGTGTGACTTTCTTGCATGCCAAAGTATCAGTATATATATCATATGTCTATGCACAGTTGTTTGTACATTTCTTTATTCCTTTTCAGATTTCTGGCTTAGTTTGTCCCCCCTGAGCCTCCAGCCATGGATTTCCAACACAGAGCTGGTGGCAAAACTGGCAGTGGTGGAGTTGCTTCTGCTTCTGAAAGCAACAGGGACAGAAGAGAACGTCTTCGGCAGCTGGCCTTAGAGACAATTGATATTAACAAGGTACTCCCATCAAGGGGATGATTTTAGGGGTTTGTAAACAGGGAGATTGGTTGAGCACTCTGTTTTTATCTTGAACAAAACATTATGAAAACAGAGTGCTCATTGTACAAACTTGTACACAGTATTCATTTGTGATTTCTGGCAGAGAATTCCTGCATAAAAACTCACGGATGGGCAGTATAGTAAATGTGTGTTTTTTTTGTGTATACATGCATGTACAAATACTTCTAGCTTTTGTTGGAATGCCTCATATGCTCATTTTTGTATTTTGTTTTTGTTTTTTTTTTTAACTGATCTATACACAGTACATGTTTACGTGCTTGTGAGTACAGGCATGTTTAAAACAATGGTCTGCATTTACATCAGTTAGAAAAAAATGCCTGTATGCCTAAAAACATTGAGCTTTTAGGCATCAATGTGCATGAGGCCTTAACATTTTTAGGAAAATGGTTTTGTAAAATTGCCCACATTGTAAAGTCAGTGGTGCATTGGCTGGGACATTTTGGTGAAAGTAAAAGTGAGTTATAGATGATGCAAAATATTCTGTAGGCCCTGTAAAACACAAGCACTGTGTCTATATGTTCGTTTTCTAATTCACTTGCCGCAATACATACAGACTAAGCTGATGCGGCCTTTTTGACTATTTAGAATCATACGCTCTCATTTGCTAGGTTTTGCTTTTACAACCTTTAAGGTGTATTTCCACTTTTGATGCTAGATTGGGATAACACCAGTATTTTGTTATTATGCGTCACCATTCACCTAGTTAAAAAAATAGAATAAAATTTAAAAAAATTGCAGCTTGCTTTTTTTTTAAAGCTATGGACCCTCCAGCAAGGAAAATCCTACTAAATTGTCTGTCTATTAGGGGGCTAGGCAGCTGTGTTAGCTATAATTAAAGTGGAACTTTGGTCGGAAAATTAAGTCCTGCTAGATCATTTCAGGCTGGCCTCTTTTGCAGTGCATGCTGTGTGAATGGGAACGCATAATAAATGTATAATGTGGTTTTCTTAAATTTGACCGCAAAAGTGAAAATACACTTCACATTTTATCATTAGCCAGAGACGGTTTTACCATCACAATTAATAGCCCAACTTTGTGCTATAAGGTCACGCAACTGGATTTAAAATAATAAAAAAGCAGCCTTTTTGCAGTTAAAAGTAATTGGGGTTGAATGACACCATCGTCGCTCAATCAAAAAATGTAAGGATTTCCTGTGACTGTATGAAATGCAATGGGGCGGGGGGGAGCAGATTTGGAATTTAAAATGTTATATTACTTATGTGTTTTGTTTTTTCCAGGACCCTTATTTTATGAAAAATCATCTGGGCTCATATGAATGCAAACTATGCCTTACCCTTCACAATAATGAGGTGAGTTAAATCCAACTTAGTAGGGTGATCGAGTTATTGGAGATTAATTTACACCACCTTCCTGCTCTCACTTTTACTCATTTGGCATAAAAACACAACAGTTTTGTTAGGGCTGGTGTACACTGATGATGTTTTCAGACAGTTGACATGCATCAAATGCAGGTCAGCAGATTCCAGTTGACTTTAACCACTTCCTTACCAGGCCAATTCTGACACTTCTCTTATATATGTAAAAATACATGTTTTTTTTTTGCTAGAAAATTACTTTACCCCAAACATATATATATTTTTTTTTCATAGCAGAGGCCATAGAGAATAAAATAGCGGTTGCTGCAATTTTTTAGGTCACGGTATTTACGCAGTGATTTTTCAAACGCAATTTTTTGGGAAAAATACACTTTAATGAATTATAAAAACACACAGAATATAAAACTAAATTTTTTGTAAAATATGAAAGATGAAGTCACACCGAGTACCGTATTTTTCGCTCCATAAGACGCACTTTTTTCCCCCCAAAAAGGGGGGAAAATGTCAGTGCGTCTTATGGAGCGAATATAAAGCGACCGGTCCGGTATTTTTTTTGCGGCCACCATGTCAGAATACCGGGCCGGCTGCTCAGCTGTTGTCCTCGCTCCAGCGCTGCACAGTCTTCCCGCGCTGGCTTCTGTGACAGCCGGGTGCCCACTGCGCATGTGCTGCGCTTTGTGAATGATCCGGTGTCTTCTGGGACACATGAAAGGTCCGAGAAGGCGCCGGGCCATTCACAAAGCGCAGCGCTTCTCGCACATGCGCAGTGGGCACCCGGCTGTCACAGAAGCCGGCCCGGGAAGAAGAGGGAAGGAAAACTCCGCGGAAGTGGGAGCGGGTACCTGTCAAATTCAGGTACCCGCTCCCCCTCACTCCCCAAAGGTCAGCAGTCTCTGGTCATTCCCTTCACTGTCTGCAGTCTCTGGTCATTCCCTTCACTGTCTGCAGTCTCTGGTCATTCCCTTCACTGTCTGCAGTCTCTGGTCATTCCCTTCACTGTCTGCAGTCTCTGGTCATTCCCTGCACTGTCTGCAGTCTCTGGTCATTCCCTGCACTGTCTGCAGTCTCTGGTCATTCTTTGCACTGTCCGCAGTCTCTGGTCATTCCCTGCACTGTCCGCAGTCTCTGGTCATTCCCTGCACTGTCCGCAGTCTCTGGTCATTCCCTGCACTGTCCGCAGTCTCTGGTCATTCCCTGCACTGTCCGCAGTCTCTGGTCATTCCCTGCACTGTCCGCAGTCTCTGGTCATTCCCTGCACTGTCCGCAGTCTCTGGTCATTCCCTGCACTGTCCGCAGTCTCTGGTCATTCCCTGCACTGTCCGCAGTCTCTGGTCATTCCCTGCACTGTCCGCAGTCTCTGGTCATTCCCTGCACTGTCCGCAGTCTCTGGTCATTCCCTGCACTGTCCGCAGTCTCTGGTCATTCCCTGCACTGTCCGCAGTCTCTGGTCATTCCCTGCACTGTCCGCAGTCTCTGGTCATCTCCCGCACTGTGTCCGCAGTCTCTGGTCATCTCCCGCACTGTGTCCGCAGTCTCTGGTCATCTCCCGCACTGTGTCCGCAGTCTCTGGTCATCTCCCGCACTGTGTCCGCAGTCTCTGGTCATCTCCCGCACTGTGTCCGCAGTCTCTGGTCATCTCCCGCACTGTGTCCGCAGTTAGAGGAGATCTAGTACTAGAATTATTGTTTTTGTTTCCGACATTCACGGTGATACTGCACATGTGTGGTTTGAACACTGTTTACTAATGTGGGTGTGATGTACGTATGTGTTCACCACTGCGCAGGGGGACGGGGGTGCTTCAAATTTATTTATTTATTTTTTTATTACAATGTTTTGTATTTTACACTGTCCCTTTAAAAAAAAAAAAAAAAAAATTTGACCAGGTTTATTCCTATCAAAAATAATGTAAACATTATGATAGAAATAAGCAGTGACAGGTCCTGTTTATGGAGAGATCTGGGGGTCAATAAGACCACACATTTTTCCTCTACAGTGTAAAGCATTAGATGGAAAAAAAAAGCATTGATCAAATGCGTTAAAAAAAAAAAAAGGACCTTGTTTAAATTAGATCGGATGCAGAAGTGACATAATGGCATAGCTCCAGTCCTCCTAAGCCATAGAGATGAGTGGAGGCCATCTTTCCTTTGCTCATCTCTGCCCAGCCACCACGTTCGTCAGATCGGTTCTCGGGCTCACCGATCATCCAGGTAAGCCTGAGAACCACCTGAAAGTGGCGGAGGGTGGGGGTAATCTGACCCCTCTTGCTGCATCTAAAAGTGATTCAGCGGCAAATCCACTGCTAGGATCACTTTTACCAGAAAGGGAATCGCCGACTGAAAAAAAAAAATTGCTGCAACCATACCCCTTGTACTTCCAATTGAGGACATCTTTTGACTATGGCCTAGCAAGTGGTTAATGAATGAAGTTTCAGAGGCTGTATTCAACTTGCATTGCATTTTTTCACAAACAGCATATCCTATTGAGGTTTATTTGGATTTCAGGAAAGCGTTTCCTTGACAAATGCTGTGTTCTGTATTCAGATGCATGCATTTCAACAGTACTGCATTGGAATAGAAAATGCTGCATCTGATATGAGCAACCATCTGCATAAGCCCTTACAAATACATTTAGTTGCCCAGCCTGTTATCCTACATTCCATGTGCTTCCTATTTCTTGTTTATCATGTGCAAGGTTTCAGTATATGTGCAAAACATTTACTGCATGTGACAGTCTATCCAGTATTGCATCAAATGGACATCAAAGAGGCAAGATTCAGTATTTACACCAAAATATTTCTCACAACAGCAAGATAATTTATAAAATTAAAAATAGCTAATATACTCTAAGTGTACAAATTGTTTTGTCCATATTTGCTATCTTTCACAGTGTTGAGCACTGCTGAAACGTGAGCCATGAAAATAAAGTACCTGAACCCTTGTTCCCAGCATCTAGTCAGATTCCATTACAGGTGGTTACCATTGTCTTTGACCAATGAATGACTAAAACATTTGGGATAAATGGTGCAAACAACTGCTGCACAGACCAGGACCTTGGCTTGCAAACTAACAGCATATCCCAGTGGTTTACATTCAGAAGAATTCTAGGACATATGTAGGGTCTTACCTGGTAAAGAGACTCATGTACTTCAAAACAAACCTTGCAAAAGACAACCATTTATATTTTGCCATGCTGCCCTAGTCAAATAGCAAAATGGCAAGCAGAATCCTCCACATCCGACACTTGTGGGTCAAGTGTCTCCTTCCACTGCCACGGGCTGTGAGTCCATCTACCAGCTGCTTCATCAGTATATAATACAGTAGTGCCACAGAGGCCAGTGGATAGAACTACGGGATATGGCAGGGGATGAAAGCAACCAAGTGTCAGATGCTAAAGATTCTACCAGTGGTTTGCTCTGCGCGAACATGAAGATTGCGGGAAATGCCAGCAGCTTTGGTACTAAACCCTCCTCTTCTTTTTTTTTTTTTTTTTTTTTAAGAGAACACAGGAATGTATTCACTTTTGGGTTTAACCTCCTGCCTATGGGAAGATTGGGCACTGTAGGCCCTTCCAGGAACCAGTGTTTTTACTAGTGTCCTAGGAGGATGAATGTATTTTCTTTATCTCTGTATTAAAGTGGAGTTCTACATGGGGAAAAAAAAAAAAAAAAGTCAGTAGCTACAAAAACTGTAGCTGCTGACTTTTAAAATACAGACACATACCTGTCCCTTGATCCAGCGGTGTCCTCACCATGGCTGGTTTCACCAGACGTCTTCTCTCCCTGGTGCCGGCACCTTCAGTGTGGGCACCTGGCTGTGAAAGTTTGGGGCTTCACAGCTGGGTGCCGACTGCGTATGCGCAAGAAGTGTTGCACTTTGTGAATGGCCCCGTAGTCTTCTGGGACCTGTCATGTGCCCCAGAAGACTACGGGGAGGAAGAGTAGGAGGACAACTTCTGCTTCTGATCGCCTAGGCGATCGCAGCAGAAGTGGGAACGGGTACCTGTCAAATTCGGGTACCTGCTCCTCAAATGTGCCAATCCTTAATGGGGAGTGGGGGATAAGGCTTAAAGTGGAACTTCCCCTTTGGGGTGGAGCTCCGCTTTAAATACCTATTTTTTGCTAGCACTTTTTTTTCAGTGAGGTGTCTTCTTTTCCTCACTGCTTGAGCTTTTTCTCTTTGGTTGCAGCTCACTAGCATGGATATACTCAGCCTGGCCTTTGGGGTACTTCATCCAGGCACAGTTGGACTGAATATTGTGGGGATAGTCTGGAAGTGACCTCTTGGCACTTTCCAGGCTTGGCTTTAGTGAAAGTTAGCTGCAGAGTGCTTTCAAGTTTCAGATTTGCTGGCATTGCATCAGCAGTTTCCCTTCATCTGAAGACTTAGTCAATGAGTAAGCCAGCTGGGGCAGGCATTGCAAGCTACCTGATTTGGATCTCTGGGCACCATTGATCCCAGTAGTTTAGCCAGGAAAGAAGGTAACGCTGTGGGATTGAGTGTTGATGTCATCTGCTGGTTGGAGTGTTGCCCACACTCTTACCCTCTATGTAGCAAGCGTTGAGGAGCCATCTTACTTTAAGTGAGGAGGGGGCCGCAATGCACCCCTTCTAAATCCATAACAGACTCTTAGCCAAGCTTACAGACTTGCTTGCCAGAGAAGGGGAAAGGGCGAGCATGCACCAGTCCTTCCTGAACCAGAACACTGTGATGTCAGTGACCAAATATGATCATTCTGAGTTGGCCTTCCTTTTTTTTTTTTTTTTTTTTTTTTTAAATGTCTGTTATTCCTGCATGTATCAATATAACCCAAAGGTGCCTAATTTCTCGTGGGTTCCCTCAATGGACTTAAAGTTGAAATCTGCAACGGTCTGTTTAAGGAAGTCGGATCACTTAAATATTGATAGCTTTTATCAGGCTACTGTACTGTGCTTACTGCCTTTTAAAATGGTCCATAGTCCTCTTTTCATTTATCATAAAAACAGTTTTGGGTCACTCTGCATAGTGGCAACATTCTTTTAAATCTTTCTTCACTGTTTTGGTTGCTAGCAAAATAACATGAATTGCAGTTAACCAGTTGACTGTTTTATAGGGTTTATTACTTTAACTGAAATACTGCTAATGTGTTAACCACTTCCTGACCACCCTATAGCAGAAATATTGCCACAGGGCGGCACGGGTGCACAAAATCACGTGTGTGTGTGTGTGTGTGTGTGTGTGTGTGTATACATGATTTTGCATTTCCGGGCAAGGGGGTGCGCACTGCCGCGACTGTCAGTCACCGGGTCCCAGCCGGTGATTACTCGCCGGCGCCCGCTGATTGCCAAGGATTTCTGACGGGGAGGAGAACTGTAGGTAAACAATACAGTTCTCCTCCCTGTCGGCTCGTGCACACTGCTTTGGATGGCTGTGCACAGCCATCCAAAGCAGTGTGCTTACAGTGAAGCACAGGGACACAGGGCAGAGTGAAACCGCACACATTTAACCCATTGATTGCCCCTCGTGTTAACCCCTTCCTGCCCAGTGCCATTAGTAACCGTGTCAGTGCTTTTTTTTTTTTTTTAGCACTGATCACTGTATTGGTGTCACTGGGGATGTCGGTGACACCACGTCAGTTTCCCCCAGTGTCAGAATGCCCGCCGCAGTTCCGCTATAAGTCGCTGATCACCGCCATTATTAGTGAAAATATATATTTTTTTAAATCCTGGTATATATACCACCATTATAAATGCTATAACTTTTACGTAAACCAGTTAATTTACACATATTGGGATTTATATTTTTTTAGACATATAGCAGAATACATTTTGGCCTAAATTTATAACAAAATTGTTTTTTTTGTTTTTTTTGAAGCACAAAAAAATCAAAACCGCACAGGCGATCAAACACCACCGAAAGAAAGTTCAATTAGTGGGAAAGAAGGCTCTAAATTTAATTTGGATGTAGCGTTACATGACTGCGCAATTGTCAGTTAAAGTAACGCAGCGCGTAACGCAAATAATGGCCTGGTAAGGAAGGGGGGGTAAATACTCTGGAGGGCAAGTGGTTAATGCTGATAGTTATCACTTTACAGTTATAGGTCTAATATAGTCCTTACTGTATTATAAATAGGTATTTGTGTTGTGTTACATTTTCTATTATTCCTCTGTTGCTTTACTATATTATTTTTTTTTTTTTTGTGTGTTACTAGGGTAGCTACCTGGCCCACACGCAAGGAAAGAAACATCAGACTAATTTGTAAGTAGTCGTGTGCATAATTGATGGAAGTTATGCCGATATCCGACATTGGCTCACATGTTTCTTTTTTCAGGGCTCGGCGAGCAGCAAAGGAAGCTAAAGAAGCTCCTGCCCAACCAGCACCCGAGAAAGTAAAAGTTGAAGTTAAAAAATTTGTTAAGATTGGACGCCCTGGCTATAAGGGTAAAGATCCTGCTTTTTGTTTTTCTGTATTACCACTTACTCTCAGTATATTTGTAGTTTAGATTAATCATTTTCTGTTCTACTTTTACAGTGACAAAACAGAGGGATCCGGAGGTGGGACAGCAGTCATTGTTGTTTCAGGTAACAGGTTTTCTTCTTTACAATCGAGATGTAGGATGTTAAGACTGATGTGTAACATACTATTGATTTTCTCAAGCAAATGTATGGTTTTAACATGTTTTTTATTTATTTTTTTGTAATAAAATGTGCGAAAGGTCAGCCTGATCTAAATTGTAATATATCTTAAAGTTTCTATATACAGCTTGTAATTTATGTACATAGGGCAGCCATATTTGGTTGAAAACAATTACTTCTGTGGCTTAAAACCCGACTGTTGCTGAATAACACAGAGTCATTGTACAGTCACTCTAAGATTTATTTAGCAGCTAATTGACAGACCTCTATATATCTGTTTGTTCTCTTTTGTGTCCATTCACACACGGAGCTGTTGCTCGGCACCGCCCCTCTCACTTCTTGTTAGCTCACTGGCTGTGATTGACAGCAGCGGGAACCAATGGCTCCTGCTGCTGTGTCAGTAAATGGGGAGAGGGAGTCCCGGGATAACCAAGACTCCAGTGCACATCGCTGGATCAAGAGGGGGCTTAGGTGAGTATTGGGGGGATGCTGCACAGAAGGGTTTTTACCTTCATGCATAGAATGGATGAAGGTAAAAAAACCTTGAACCTTTACAACTACTTTAGGTTTGCATAGAAAAATGTTACAACATAAAAGTATCAAGACATATAAGTAGTTTCTCAGAGAGTACTAAGATAATCATATTGTATGAAGGAGCTAACGTACAATACAGCGGGATTGGAAATAAAAAATGTTGATGTGCATTTGTGAATGTCTTCACAAAGGCCATTTGTAGGTTAATAAGTGTGTAATTATGTATGAGTGACGATAGGGTTGCATATGTCATGCTGGCATTGTAGGGATTTACATTGGAAAAGCTAGATCTATAGCAAGAGTGCAGGGGTGGTGAGGCTCTCTGCTTTTCTTATCAAAGGATGCATTTGTTACTCAAAAAAGTTAAAAAGGAACAAAAACAAATTTAGGGAAAGGAAAAATTTGGCAGAAGAAGGAAGGTTAATAATGGAGCTCCACAATCTCCATATCTTGTGGGAGATTGGTCAATTGTGATGGATAAAAAACTGTTGGTCATAGCTATTACAAAAGTCTTGTCAATTCAGTATTTTTGTTGTAGGTATACCCTGCAAGAATACCTCAAAATATATCCTCACTAAAAACACATTATGCATTCTCTTTAACTGTGAGCGCTATTTAACCTCCTGGTACTCTCTATAGTAAATTACCTCTTTTCTTTCTATTTTTTATGCTGGTAATTGATGTTTCATGTGTTTTATTTATTTTAATCTGCATTAGATTGACTATCCAGAAATAGCAGAGAGCATCATGCCTAGACACCGCTTCATGTCAGCTTATGAACAGAGGATAGAACCACCAGACAGACGTTGGCAGTATCTTTTAATGGCTGCAGAGCCCTATGAAACCATTGCTTTTAAGGTGAGTCACTTCCTAACTTTATCCAAAAATATATTACTACAGATGAAAAAGAAAGAGAGATAATTTTACCCCATGTGCAAATTGTTAGTAAGACCTCATCTGGAATATGCAGTTCCATTTTGGGCACCAATTCACAAAAAGGGGACCTGGAGAAAGTGCAGAGAAGGGCAATAAAACTGGTAAGAGGCATGGAGGAGCAACGCTGTGAGGAAAGATCAGAAGAAGTGAATTTATTCTCTTTTGAGAAGAGCAGATTAAGGGGGATATGATCAACATGTATAAATACATCAGTGGTTCATATCATGAACTCAGTGAAGAGTTATTCACCCTGAGGTCATCACAGAGGACAAGGGGGCACTCTTTACGTCTGGAGGAAAAGAGATTTGTTCTCCAAATATGGAAAGGCTTTTTCACTGGTTTTGGAAAGCTCAGTACTTTGTTTTAAAAAAGGCTTGGATTCTTTCCTAAATGTACACAATATACTGGATACGAATATTCATGGCTAAAATTGTTACAAGTAATATCTGACTTGCCTCTCGGGGGATCAGGAATTAATTTTTCCCCCTGCTGGAGCAATTTCGATCATGCTTTATTGGGGTTTTTGCCTGCCTCTGGATCAACTGTGGGTATAGGATTGTGTATATTTCCCTTTTATTGGTTGAACTAGATGGACTTGTCTTTTTTTCAACCAGACTAAACTATGGAACTATGTAAAAAAAAAAAAAAGTTATACTTTTTTAAATGTTCTACTTAAATGCATGTAACGGGATGGCTATAGCCAGGGCTTCCTATCTTGACAGTTTTCTTTTCACATTAACTTTATTTTTCTCTGATCCTGGATGTTTAGAAGCTGCTTTTTCTACAGTGAAATAATTATGTACAGTATATCATAATGTCTGATTTTGTTGTATACCTATATCTTTATATAGGTTCCTAGCAGAGAAATTGACAAGATCGAAGGGAAATTCTGGACCCACTGGAATAGGGAAACTAAACAGGTAACTTACCCTCTTTATCAGGAGTGCCATATGGTAAGCTAAGCCTTGTTAGATAAATGTATTTCAAAGCTGAAAAGTTGGTGTTTTTTTCTAAATACTGTAACTTTACTAAACGCTCAGTGTTTTGAGCTGGGGAGTTAATAATCAGATTCTGGGTGGGCAGGGTTTAAATTGAACTTTTCAAATAAATTAACTGGTTAGTTACTCTCCTAGAACAAGCATGTTCATATCATTCATGCCCAATATGTACAGGCATGTTCCAGGGCAGTGACACTCTACATAGTTAAAGATAGGATTGACAGCCCCAAAGCATGCAACATCAGATACAAGTCAGCAATGGTAGCAAAAAGCCAATAATCCAGTTATGTATTCATAACAAATGTATTTTTTTCATAAATACTTGAATCTCTCCAGTTATTGAATTCCTTGTAATCCCCCTGCACACAGCACTCACACTAGGTGGGGAAAGCAGGGGGGGAGGAGTTGTTACCCTGAGCCAATCAGAGTTATATTGCTCTGAACAGAGTGGTTAGTCAGCAGCATGGTTAATGGCTTGATCAGAGCACTGCTTTTCCTTAATTCTTCAGTCACAGGCTTTTAAAGTGTACGTTCCTCTTTCAGTATTTCTTTTTTTTTTTTTTTTCAAAAAACCCTCTATGCTATTGCATATTTCCTGAATAGTTCATACCAGCACTTTTTCAAATGCTGCTCCCATTACACATGCAGGGGACACCCCTCTGCAAAAAACGCTGGCCCCTTGACCCCCTCCCCTCTCCATTGTGCCATTTGCAGGGCAAACTGAATGCTACAGTTGTGCACCTCCTAGTGGCCACTCCAGGCTGTTCAAACTTTGTGTGTGTCCAAGTGCGCTTTCTCCTGCTGAACTCCACTGGAGAAGAAGAGCACTGCATGTTGTTGAAGATGCAAAGAAATGTCCGCAGCACACCGAGAATTCCCCAAATGGGTCCTATGTATGCCCCTTTTGTATGCACCTTTTGACCACTTACTAAAGCTTTGGACCTGTTTGAGGAATCCTCGGTGTGCTGGTGACATTTATTCACATTGCGTGTCTACGGTTCCAGCCAGTGGTCACTGCAACACCCATCCACACTGAACAGCCATCTTCAGGAACGTGTGCGTTTGGAAATATCATGATTTGACTTGTTTGAAGGTGAACTTATACTTTATCTAAATCGCATTGCTTGGCTGCAATAGTGTGTGTGTGTTAATCTGCTTGCTGTTCAGCTTGAACTGTACAATTATATATTCAGGAACTTTTAAGTATTTGTTTCAGCTCAATATCACATAATGGGATGCACATGCTTTAAAGTGAACAGGGTATTTAACACACTACAAATTATCTTATTCAAGTGCAGTTACTGTATACAGATTAGCTCCTATGCTTGTTTATGCGTATTTAGTCTAGCTTTGAAATTCTTATTTTAAAAGTGTTTGTTTAAAGTCCATATCTGCCCAGAAAATGCACACTTAAGTATTTCCTTAATTTTAAAGAGGAGCTATCATTACAATGTCTTGTACGTTGTTCTGCCCCCAATGAACAAAGTACATGTAGTACTTCGTCCCTTGTAGCTAGGTGCCAGTCTGGTTAAGAGGCTCAACCTGCACCCCTCCCCCACACACCCCTACTCTGACAACAGCTAGGAAGAGATGGATGCATCATAACCTCGATATGACTCTGCTCTTAGCACTTCCCAAGACAGCAAGATTGCAGAGGGAGAATGGGGGGGGGGGGGGGGTGTCCGCCTCTTGTCTCTGTGCATTCCTCTTGGCACAGCTTGTCTCAGGAAAGTGCTCTGAGCCGAGACAAGCTGCAGGTATGGCGGATCTGTCTCCTTCCTAGATGCTGTTGGATTTGATGCAAGGAGAGGGAAAGGGGGCAGGTTGGATCTCATAACTAGACTTAGGACGCATCAAGCTACGTGGGATAAAGTAAAACATGTACAATACTTTGCCCCATTGGGGACAGAACAATGTCAAAAAAAAAATTGCAATAATAGTCGTTCTTTAAACAAGCGCTAAAATCACTGTAACATAAGCCCTACGTAGCTTCAAATTTCACAAAAGGGGCACCAATCTTTTAAATCTTTTCCAGAGATGTCAGGGATAACCTTGTTTTAAAGCTCTTTTTCTGCTTGTTGAGAATATGTAAATTTTAATTTCCATAGTTTAGACACAGGTACACTTCAAATGACCCCTGCATCCTGTCCCTATACCTTGATTGATTTGTCTTTAATCTTCAGTCATAATGACTTATTAACTTTAAAGACCAGGTGTATACTTTGAAGACATTAGCCTATGCAGTCAAGGAGCCACAGGAGGTACCAGCTGCAGCTTTTAAAAAGTAAAATTATATAAATGCAATGCCTGTATTGTATTTGTGTTGCAACAACCCACTGCAGCACACATGCCATTTTTTTTAGACACTGCCTTTGTTGACTTTTAACTAAAGCATGACCCTCCAGAGATCTTAACGAAAAACTCTGATTGCCAATAGCCATCTGTTCCATCTCCTGTCCTGTTACTAGGACACTGTAGCTGTTGGGCACTTGCTCCACTGATACTGGGGGCAAGCATCTAACAGATACAAAGTCCTTGCAACAGGGCTGACAGACAGCTATGGCAGTTTCTAGTCAGACTTCTGGGGGATTGCAAATGGCCTACACTGTTTATTACCTTTTGGGGCCCCTTGACTGCTTAAACTATCTTCTTTAAACGGTGAACTTAGCCTTGGTAATTTTAAGTTGTTCATACTATTGATGCAGGTGATTGACACTGTTCCTTTTGCATTTAGTTTTTCTTGCAGTTCCATTTCAAGATGGAAAAACCTCCAACAGCAGCCAGCATTCCACCTGCTCCTCCTGGTGTCAAAAGGCCTCCACCTCCACCACTGATAAATGGGATGCCACCTCGACCACCCTTGCCAGAAAACATGCCACCACCGCCACCGGGTGGAATGCCAATGCCTCCAATTCCTCCAGGGGCACCAGCACCACCAGTGCCGCCTCCCCAACTTCCTCCAGCTCCTGGTGTTCCACCTCCTGGTGTGCCGCCTCCTGTCCCACCACCAACCTTGCCGCCTCCAGGTGTACCTCCTCCTGGTGTACCACCACCACCTCCCAACCCTGCTGTTCCCCCTCCTGGAGTCCCTCCCCATGGAATCCCTCCTCCTGGTATTCCTCCACCAGGGGTTCCCCCTCCACCTGCTCCTGGAGTTCCTCCTCCTCCTGCTCCAGGTGTGCCACCTCCAGCACCTGGAGTTCTACCCCCAGGACCTATGCCTCCAATGATGAGGCCACCTTTGCCAAGTGAAGGACCTACAAATATTCCCCCACCACCTCCAAACAATTGATTCCATCTGTGCTGTCTCTTGGAAATGTGCACATTTGATATTTTTTTTAGAATGTTATTTGTTTTCTGTTTCAATCACAAAATAAATTGGACCTTTTAAAACAAACAAAAGCATGCATTTTTTTTAAACCATGCACATACACATATACAGTCATGGCCAAAAATATTGCAGTTCAGATAATGCACCACTATGGGGTTTTGTGTGGAATGTGTCTATCAGATCTGGTTGTTTCTCCACTTTTTAGTGTCATACCAATACAAAAAAAAGAAATAAACATTTGTAACTGCAGCAGTTTTCTGGGCAAAGTGGTGCATTATCTGACATAAATGCAGGGGTGACGCCATGACTGTGTGTGTAATATAAAAAAAAAAATCTATATATACAGTAAAGGAAATAAGTATTTGATCCTCTGCTGATTTTGAATGTTTGCCCACTTACAAAGAAATGATCAGTCTAAAAATCGAATGGTAGGTGTATTGTAACACTGAGAGACAGAATAGCAACAAAAAAATTCAAAAGAAATGCATGTCTAACTAATTATGTACTGATTTGCATGTTCATGAGGGAAATAAGTGTTTGATCCCCTATCATTCAGCAGGATTTCTGGCTACCAGGTAGCTTTCATACAGGTAAGCTGATATTTAAAGAAGTCTCTTAAAGGGAGTGCTGCTAATATCATTTTATTACTTAAGAGACACTTGTCCACAGTAGCAATCAAGCAATCAGATTCCAAACTCTCCACCATGGCAAAGACCTGTCCAAGGATGTCAGGGACAAGATTGTAGACCTACACAAGGCTAGACTGGACTAACAAACTATCGCCAAGCAGCTTGGTGAGAAGGCGACAACAGTTGGTGCAATCATTCGCAAATTGAAGAAACACAAAACAACTGTCACTCTCCCTAGGTCTGGTGCGCCATGCAAGATCTCACCTCGTGGAGTGTCAATGATCATGAGAACAGTGAGAAATCATCTCAGAACTACACCTGAGGATCTTGTACTGGATCTCCAGGCAGCTGGGACCACAGTCACCAAGAAAACAATTGGTAACACATTCCGCCGACAAGGATTGAAATCCCACAGTGCCCGCAAGGTCCCTCTGCTCAAGAAAGCACATGTCCAGGCCCGTCTGAAGTTTGCCACTGAACATGTGAATGATGGTTGACTGGTTGAAAGTGTTGTGGTCAGATGAGACCAAAATCGAGCTCTTTGGTATTAACTCGCCGTGTTTGGAGGGGGAGGAATTCTGCGTATGACCCCAAGAACACCATCCCAACTGTCAAACATAGTGGTGGAAACATTCTGCTTTGGGGGTGTTTTTCTGCTAAGGGGACAGGACAACTGCACCGCATCAAAGGGATGATGGACGGGGCAATGTACCATCAAATCTTGGGTGAAAAGCTTCTTCCCCTCAGCCAGGGCATTGAAAATGGGTCGTGGATGGGTGTTCCAGCATGACAATTACCCAAAACACACGGCCAAGGCAACAAAGAAGTTGCTCAAGAAGAAGCACATTTAGGTCCTGCAGTGGCCTAGCCAGTCTGCAGACCTTAATCCGATTGAAAATCTGTGAAGGGATCTGAAAGTTCGAGTTGCCAAACATCAGCCACCAAACTTTAATGATTTGGAGAGGATATGACAAGAGGAGTGGGCCAAAATCCCTCCTGAGATGTGTGCAAACCTGGTGGCCAACTACAGGAAACGTCTGACCTCTGTGATTACCAACAAGGGATTTGCCACCAAGTACTAAGTCATGTTTTGTGAAGGGGATCAAATACTTATTTCCCTCAGGAACATGCAAACCAGTGCATAATTAGTTAGACATGCATTTCTTTTGAATTTTTGGTTGCTATTCTGTCTCTGTGTTACAATACACCTACCATTTGATTTTGGAAATTAAAATGATCAACCTACAGAGGACTGAATTCAAAGACACCCCTAAAATCAAAGTGAAAAAATTATGCAGCAGGCTAATCGGTTTTGCAGAAATTTCATTGCAGCAACTCAAAATGGTATTCAGTAGTTTGTATGGCCCCCACGTGCTTGTATGCATGCCTGACAACATCGGGGCATGCTCGTTTATAAGAACAAGCTTCAACATGCTTTTCACAATTATACCTGCTAATTCCAGGTCTTTCTGAAGCTCTCCACAAGTAGTCATTGGCTCTTGGACAACTCTTCTGATAATTCTTTTCACTCCTCTGTTAGAAATCTTGCAAGGAGCACCTGGCCGTGGCTGGTTTATGGTGAAATTATGTTCTTTACACTTCTGGATTATGGCCCCAACAGTGCTCACTGGAACATTCAGAATTTTAGAAATCCTGTAAGCAATAAAGTTGTGAAGGTCTTGAGAGAGCTCCTTGCTTTTACCCATCATGAGATGTTTCTTGTATGACACCTTGATAATGTTGTTCCCAGTTGTTTCCACCTTGTTATAATGCCACTAACAGTTGACCGTGGAAAATTTAGTAGTAAAGAAATTTCACAGATGGACTTGTTGCACTGGTGGCAATCTATCATGGTACCACGCTTGAATTCACTGAGCTCCTGAGAGTGATCCATTATTTCACAAATGTTTGTAGAAACAGTCTGCATGCCTAGATGCTTGATTTTATACACCTGTGGCCATGGAGGTTATTGGAACACCTGAATCCAATGATTTGGAGGGCTGTCCCAATACTTTTGGCAATATAGTGTATATTTTCCACTAATATATTCAGTGTTTGTTAAAGTGTTACAAAACCCACAACAGTAAAATCAGTCTGTATATGCAGTAAAGCATACTTGTTATACTTACTGTGGAACCTAAGGGGTTAATCCTTAATATTGTGTAAAAAGGATGTTTGAGCCTGTCTTTGATCCTCCCCCTATTCCAGGGTCTCTTAAATATCTGCTGATAGAACAGAGGCTCAGGGCAAGCTGCACATGCTCAGTTTGGTATGTATTGCTAGAGAGTTTTTTTTTTTTTTCCTTGGGAGAATGCATGTAATCAGCACAGGTCCAATCAGCACTGTCCAGACAGGTCAGGTGTCCTGCATCCTACAGGTGAATGAAAACTCCTCCTACAAGCTGGACACTTATAAAAGTCATAAGACTGCTCTAACTGCTGATGAGAAAAGGTATTTAGCAGTTTATATTTACTAAAATAATTGCATTTCCATGTACTGTCCCAGAGTCCTGGGTTTAGTAACACTTTTTAACTACCTGCAGACTGCAGATAGCCGAATGATGGCTGCACTGCGGCCGGCCAGTTCTGAGTGGACGTCATATGACGTCCTCCCAGAACGCGCTCTCCTGCGCGCCCCAGGGGGCGCGCACCCGGCGATCTCCGTGATCGCTGTGTCCTACGGACACAGCTGATCGCGTGATGTGGTAAAAGGCCAATCACAGCGGCCTTTTACCACGTGATCAGCGGTGTCCAATGACACGCTGATCAGAGGGAAATGCAAGTGCCGGTTCTCGGCTGCACTTTCCTCACGCTGTCAGATCGTGAGGAAAGTACTGCCGAGAACCGGCAGTTGTCAGAGCGGGGATCGGCACCGATCATCAGGGCACTGATGATCGGTGCCCAGCAGTGCCACCCGCAAGTTCCGCCCACCTGTGCTCAGCAGTGCGCCCACTAGCTCCGCCCACCTGTGCCCAGCAGATCACCCACCTGTGCCCAGCAGTGCACCCACCTGTGCCACTCTGCAGTGTCACACACCTGTGCCCAGAAGTGCTCCTACAAGCTGGACAGCAGTGCCCACCCACCAGTGCCACCCACCAGTGCAGCCCAGCAGTGCTGCCAGTCAGTGCCACCAGTCAGTGCCCAGAGGTTGTGCCAGTCAGTGCCGCCAGTCAGTGCCCAGCAGTGATGCCAGTCAGTGCCGTCTATCAGTACCCATCATCAGTGTCACCTATCAGTGCTGCATATTAGTGCCCCCTATCCGTGACACCTCATTAGTGCTGTCTATCAGTGCCGCCTATCCGTGCCACCTCATTAGTGCTGCCTATCAGTGCCCATCAGTGCTGCCTCATCAACGCACATCAGTGAAGGAGAAAAAATGCCTGTTTGAAAAATTTTATAATAGAAACAAAGAAACTTTTTTTTTTCAAATTTTTTGCACTTTTTTTTATTCATAGCGCAAAAAGTAAAGCGCCCAGCGGTGATTAAATACCACCAAAAGAAAGCTCTATTTGTGAGGAAAAAAATGATCGTAATTTCATATGGGTACAATGTTGCATGACCGCGCAATTGTCAAAGTGCGGCAGCGCTGAAAGCTGAAAATTGGCCTGGTAAATAAGGGGGTATAAGTGCCTGGTAGGCAAGTGGTTAAGGAACCCTGTCACCAACCTAAATGCTTAATTTCTTTTTATAGTGTGTCTTCAACTGCAATGTGCTTTTGAACCTGCTAGAGCATTTGACTACAGCAGAAGAGCCTTTTTCCTGACACAACCCCCTGCTTCTTTGGGTGTCATAACACTCTTCTGTTTTGTAAATATATCTAATCATTCTCTGTGTCTGCCCAGAATCCTGGCCCTGCACTTCATCACATAATCTCTTTCTATTTCTTGTCCATTGAGGGACACAGGAATTCATATACTGTTGGGGGATATATTGCTGCCTATAAGAGGATTGAACAGTGGCAAAAAAAAAATCTGTAGGCCAGTCCAATGTAACCACTTTCTACCCAACATGCCTCTGACTGCTAATGCCCTAGGAGGATAGACAAGTTTAACTTTGTTTTCTTTCTCAGTTCTTCAAGCTTTTTTATCCAATCAAGGTTCCCCACTACACCCGTTTTTGAGCTGGTTTTTATATGGCAGCTATCCAGACCTGCTTTCCCCCAGCCTTGGTGTGCCGTATCTGGACTCCACTGGACTGGATTTGCAAGCCCAGCCTGGAAGAGACCTTTAGGCACTGGGTTCCATGTTAAGCACTTCAGACCCTGTTCTGGTAACAAGTTAGCCCTAGAGCACTTTCCAGTTTTAGAACCATTGGCATTGCCAGAGCGCTTGCC